GAGAGAGAGAGAGAGAGAGAGAGAGAGAGAGAGAGAGAGAAACGATGACTTCCTATTTGTTTGTCTCACACACTCGCTCGTAACAGAGGTAGATAGGGACGGCGTCGCGGCATGGCACAACAAACGAAAACCGAAACGTATGAATCTTCCCACCAAAAATGAACAGGATCATCCGTTCGTTGCTAATAGTAACGAATGTCTTTTGCCATCCTTTCGCGGTCAAATGCAGTCGTTTCGTTTTCATTTCATGTGCGGTGTGACCGAGAGAGAGAGAGAGAGAGAGAGAGAGAGAGTTGAGCGAGAGAGAGTTGAGCGAGAAGAAAATCCGAAAAAGAAACAAAACATCAGAAAAAGCCAACCGTCGCACTACGACGAGAAAATAAATACAAAATAAAAAGAATCCAATCACAACCGTCACCCCGACCGATAGGCGAAATAAAATAAAGGGAAGGCAAAAAAACAACCAAACACTGAAAACAAAAAATATCGGCTGTGAAGAGGACAACGTCAACTCTTCCTCCGGGCGGCTCACCGCGCGAGATGTTCGAGCTCATCTGCGCTCGTCTCGCGCCCCTGGGAAAGCTGTCCTCACTACCTTCACCGCCGAAACGAGCTGTCTTGCTGTAAAAATAGTAGAGCAAAAATTCATACGTACAAGAAAAATGTCCAATCTTTTCTCCATTAATAATAACAAACTCTTTCGTTTGTCTAACATTTCGTTACGGACGGCACCGTGCACTTCCCCGACCACCGATCGTTCTTATCCTACCGCCACCGCGCGTTTTTGCCCTCCTCCGGCGCGCAGCTTGCCATGAACCTCCACCCCGCGGCTGATGCGCGTTAAGGGGTCGGATTATTAATTAATAATCAATACTTCACATAGCAACAGAATAAAGCGAACAACATTTCCCTGAAATTGAATCAACCTACTCTCCCTCTCCCTCTCCCTCTCTCTCTCTCTTCCTCGCCCCGAAAACCGACTCACAAATTCTCTATTTTCCAATTCACAACCACTCCCCTAATTCCTCGACAGATTCACGTTTACCCTCGACGGCATTCAATCAATCTGAAGTCGATGGCAGCCATAACCAGTCCAGACGAGCGACTCTCTGTGCTAACAGAACCGTACAAGCAACGATCTCTGTGCCGGAAGTGAATGAGGAGAGACAGAATAGAAAAGCTTGGGAACGAGAAGGGAGAAGAGAAGAGAGACGTATCAAAGAGGCGAATGGAAGAGCAGGGATGGGAAGCACTCGACGCGCAGGTTGAGAGAGTTGAGCGGAGGAAAGGGGAGGAGGGAGGACGGAGGAGGGAGGAGAAGTGGAGAAGACGACGAGGCAACGAACCCGCTCACAAGCCGACGTTGGCAAAACTGCGACGGAGAACTGGTCAGGAGAGTGGCGGGGGAAAAAAAACAAGCTAAGAGAAAAAGGATAAAACGTAAGCTAAACCTCGGAACGAGAAAAACAATGAATTCAACGAGCAAATACACGATGACCACAGCAAGGAGGGGGGGAGGGGGAGAACGGCTTAGAGCAGTAGGGAGCGAAGCGCGTCCACAGCCAGGCCATGCTCACAATAGTACGCCTTCTTTTACTGACTTCTGCTCGAAACTGCAGCCACATTCATCTGCATTCAGCCGTGATTGCCGTCAGATACATCTATCCACTTGGAACGGCCTCCCAAGCGAGAAGCAGGACACGAAGTGTATGTTGGCGTGAGCACTATGCGGTAAGTCGCGCCGCGCGAACGACGACTTGTCCTGTCTTTCAGAAGAAGCCAGCGGACGGGACCGGCAGGCTAGCCGACGGAGGCACGTTGTAGCACTGAATCATGACTGTCGATAGTATAGACTCCGGGAAAATGATGTCATTAATGATGTGTACAGTGGCATTTACGCCGGTGATGGCATCTGGCACGACGACCCTAGCGGTGCCTTCCACCATGATTGTCCCGTCGCCGAGAGTCATCAAATCGATGGGCATTCCGGAGGCAGCGGTCAGTCTGCTAATGGTCTTCAGCTCTGCCACCGTGTAGTTCCCGCCAACTGCAAGATGGAAGAGCATGATCTGAGTCAGCACGTCGATCTTGCCGGATTGCGTGTCCAAGCATTGCTTCAACTCCGGGCTGAGCATGGCAAAAGCGCCATTGTTTGGCGCGAACACCGTCACCTTCCCGCCACCGATGATGCCGATGAGTGTGAGGTTAATTCGAGAAGCCATCAAGGCATTGGAGAACATGGACAGATCTCCCAGGCCTTGAATACGGGCGAGCAACGCCAAAGCCGCGGGACTAGGAGGAGGAGGAGGAGGAGGAGGAGTGTAGACTGGCGGGACGTAAGAGGCCGGTGCAGGCGTTTGCGCACCAACAATCCCTGCCAAAGCGATGAAAACGGCGGCGGCCGCCATCGTCAGGAGAACAGAGCGTACTACCCGAGACTGTGCCATGGCGAACGTTATTCTAATTCTCTCTCTCTCTCTCTCTCTCTCTCTCTCTCTCTCTCTCTCTCTCTCTCCCCGATACTGAGTACTGCTCTTGGTTATCTCTCTTCCTCTCTCCTCGTGCTCTCTTTCTCTCTCTCTTGCTCGCTCTCTCTACTACGAAATATATATGCCGACCCGTCTAGCGCTCAGTCAGCCGGCGTGAAACGAAGAATTGCTAACTCGGAGATGAAGGAAGATGCCGTGCTTTCTCCTTCTCCCAAGGAAAGCTGGACGCTGCACTGCAACTGGGAGAGAGGACAGACGGACGAAACGACGTTTCTGAAGAATGCACTGCTGCCCTCAACCCTTTTATACTCTTCCCGCTCCGGCATACACACACGGCGACCCCAAATCCGCAAATTTGAGATTTTGGGCATGGTTCACTTCACACTGCAGTACCTTTTCAGATGGTACAAGGTCGCGGCGGTCTGGAGATTTGGTACTTGGCTGGTCACACGGCGCCATCCACAAATTGTGCCAGAACTTTTGTGAACGAATTTTTGCCAATTTTTGAAGGGCATAGCTCAGTTGGTAAGGCACAGAAGTTGCATTCAGGTGGTCGTGGGTTCACGGACGTGCCTGGGCAAGCTTGGTGTTCTACCAGCTAGAGATAACCCGTTGGCCCCCCAAGCCAGCATTGGCAGGACCTTGGCTGATGTTGTTGGCTGCTATGCAGCGGCAATGGGTCACTGCACACGAAACGAAAACGAAACGAGTGCATCTGCCCACGAAGGGAGGCAAAATACGCTGGTTACTATTTATAGTAAACCGACGAACCTGGCCATTTTCTGCAGGAAGATGCACTCGTTTCGTTTTTCGTTTCGTGTCCCGTGGCCCAATATTGGCCATTAGACACCACCATGTGGGGTTGGGGGGGGGTGGAGGTGCAGTGACTGGCCATTGCTCGGCGCTAGCACGGTCTATTTCCCCCATCGGCAATGCCTGCCCACCCCTCGTCACCGTGATGAGGGACTGGTACAGCCTTGCTCTCGCACCACAGCTGTGGAGCAAACCTACCCCGTGGGATGGGGAGAGATCCGGGTTGGTTGGTGTTCCCCCGTACTATAAGTAAACTAGTGAGAGGATGAGATAGATGCGTACTACCAAGAAAGATGAAATAGATTGAGGGCATACTCACACAGGGACCTATAATCCCAAAATCCAAAAAAAAAGGGTAAAACGCCGGTCACGCGATCTACCAAATTCGCAAATGTACCATTCCAGTGCCCATTTGTCAGCAGCCTGGGAAGCCGCGGGGCAAGGGATTTTGCGGTCACCTCTGGAGGTGAAGGCAAATTCCCTTCTTTTTTTTTTTTGCAGTTTTTTCAAAAATTGGGAAAATTTCGCTCACAAAAGTTATTGCTCAATTGGTGGATGGCCCCGTGTGACCAGCCAAGTACCAAATCCACATTTCTCCAGACGGCCTCGACCTTGGTCCATCTGAAAAGGTACAGCAGTGTGACGTGAACCATGCCCAAAACCTCAAATCGGCCCTTCCCAAATCCGCATATTTTGCGGCTTTGGGTTCGCCGTGTGAGTATGCGCTGAGAGAAGAATATAGATTAGTTTGAAAAAAAAAAAAAAAAGCAACAAAAAAAAAGGTCACCACAAAATCCCTTGCCCCACAGCTTCCCAGGCCGCTGACAAATGGGCACAGGAATAGTACATTTGCGAATTTGGTAGAATCTGATCCGTGTGACCGGCCTTTTACCCTTTTTTGGGGGATTTTGGGATTATAGGTCCCGTGTGAGTATGCTGTTACGCGGCTGAGGATCAGCGAGGGACAGGCGGGCACCCCGACGAGAACGTGGGGAGGGGTGTTGTCCACTGGAAGCCATGGGTTCCGGAGTCGGTTACTGATGGGCCAGCTCAGTGGGTACACCAATGAACTGTTGAAATACAGACCCAAGTTCGAACCAAATATTTCTGAATTGCCTGGGCCCGTTCATCTAAAAGATGATATCTCAAGACCGTCACCCTTTTAAAAAAGAAAGAAATACAGACCGAAGTTCCAATCCACATCCAGCCTTGGCCGCGGGGGGCAGGTCGATGGTCCGCTGCGCGCCGGAATTGGGTCGAAGTCTCAGTGTGGGCCGGCGGATGAAGGCGATCGAGGGCGGGTGGGCGTGCAGCGCGGCGCGCGTACCGAATTGTTCACAACGCGCCATGAAACGTGAGAGCGCGCTCCCAGGGCGGGGCAGAGGTGAGCTTCGATGCGGATGAACATCTCGGAGGAGATTGAACTTTGGTCGACTGGGTCGTGGACGTCGACACACACACACACACACACACACACACACACACACATATTAAAATTATGAAGTTTGCCGCCGATGGTGGTCGTGAAGGTTTGAACCCAGACAAAGATTTGAGATAAGCAACTGCCCTAACCACTCAGGTCGACTGGGTCCCTGTGTGTTTTGTGGGACTGCTTCTTTATGAAGTGTATCCGACGTCAGGCAGCTGACTTGTCAGGATGTGCCTGTGTGTCCAACCCTAACATTGCACAGTGTGGCAAGCGGGTCCATTCCCACAATTTTCAAGCGCCAAATCTGGCAATTTTGTTGCGCTTAGACAAATTGAAGAAAAAATATGAAAAATTGAGACAATGTAGATTAGGTTGTGATCTTTCCAGGAAAAATATCAAAAAAATGAAAAAAATAAATTTAGACCGTGAAATGTCACACCGTTCCGTTGCATTCTCCATCTCTACCATTCTTGCACGTGTTGGCCAACGGGAAAAGTAACCCGACTTCCGCGATTTTTTGCGCTCAGAAGAATGAGTCTACAACTCTCAAAATTGATACGCCTGTAGATTGGGTCGTGATATTTCTACAAAAAATATTTTAAAAAATTAAAAAACTATTTAAGATCATGCAATAAATGTCGCGCCAATTCGTCCTGTATTCAATTTTTTGTGTTCTTTGTTGCTGTATCACGTGTCGCCCAACGGGAAAAGTACCCCTACTTCCGTGATTTTTTGCGTTCAGACGGATGACTCTACAACTCTGGAAATTGAAGGGTCTGTAGATTCGGTTGTGGTCTTTTCCACAAAAAAAATTAAAAAAAATTGAAAAATACCAACATCGCGAAATAAATGTCGCACCAATTCGTTCTATATTTCATTTTTGAGTGTATAGCGAATATCACAACACACACACACACACACGCACACATGAACAAACACACACACACACATTCACCCACTCACACACTGACACACACACACACACACACACACACACACACACACACACACACACACACA